TTGCCATTGTCGTGAACACATCTATTGGGTCGTGGATATCTTGCTAACCAGCAGTTTGAAAACTGCTCTGCTACATGCTTACTTGATTTGTTGTTGATTCTGATGATTTCCAATAGGTTAGTGACCGGGTCAATGCATGTGAGTGCATTGATCACTAATTCTGTTTCATCTGGAAGAAGGATCTTCCAGGGACCAATCAAGTCCACACATACTTCATTCCAAGGGACAAGCTGAGCCTCTCGGGGTGGTAAYAATCCGTGTCCTTGGCCTTGTTGCTTGAATCTGTGACACTCGTCTGGACACTGGTATTGTTTGCACTTTAGGCTGAGTCGTGGAGTATAGAACCTAGCACTGATASTTTCATAGAGTCTAGTGCCGCCACAGTGACCCAATAGGAGATGATACCATCTAAGGGTGCTGTCTACCAGGCCATCAGGCAGGTAGATCTTCCAATCATTGTTGTTACTCATGGATACTGTGACTAACTCAAAGGTTCCTATCTTTCTCTTGATGTAATGCGCTGGGTCTGTTTCAAGTAGGTGTTGACACTGGGGGTCCGTGAGTTGGTAAGTATAAAGGCTTGCATTTGTAATTGGATTCTCCATYTCTGAGACCGGYGGTAGATTGAGCAAACATTCGTGTAGTTCAGGTTCCAAGTAGAATACATCCTCTGGATCCACCTCAGCTGCCAATTCCTTGAAATTCACCATTGTTCCTTTCTTCTTTTCATAGATTTTCTTTTCTTTATCCCCGACCRTGCACGGATCCATTCTGGGCACGCGAGAGAAACAGTCGGCAAGAACATTTTTCTTGCCTTCAATATATTTCCACTTGATATCAAAGCCTTCCAGGCTGAGTTTCCAYCKGAGGACCCGGGAGTGAGATAGGGTCCGGAAGATGAGATTCTTATGGTCAGTGTAGATGATGATTTGACCACCATAGAGCATATTTCTATACTCTTTGAAGCACAGGATGATAGCGAGAAGCTCTTTTTCCATAGTGGTGTAATTCCGTTGAGTCTTGTTGAGCTTCTTGGACCAGTATGCGATTGGTCGTTCCTGTTGAAGGATGGCAGCGCCGAGCTGATAATCAGACGCATCAGTGTAAATATGGAAAGGTTGGTTTAAATCAGCAAAAGTGTTGATTGCATCATGTGCAAGAAGGGCCTTCATTTCTTGAAATGCTTGATTACATTGGGGGGTCCAAATGTAAGGTCCTGAGCCTGTGAGGGCTGTTAGTGGGGCCAATACGTGTGAGCGCCTTGGCCACATGGATTTGTAGTAGTTCACTGCGCCCAAGAAAGATCTGACTTGTGATTGGTTCTGTGGAACTYCCATCTTTAGGATCCCATCTACTTTCTTTTGCCATGGCTTGACTCCTGTAGGCGTGAGCCAGAAGCCAAGGAAATCAGACTCTTTTACTGCCCATTCACATTTGAGTGGGTTGCATTTCATTCCATTGGATGCCAATCGTTGCAAGACTGGATCAATTAAGGAAAGGTGCTTTTGGAATGGTCCCTGAGACCAAATTCCCATGTCATTGATGTAAACTTCAACATCAAGGTCAACCAAGATCTTGGTGATGAAAGCCTGTGCATAATCTGGGGATGATTTAAGTCCCATTGGTAGTCGTAGGCATCTGTAATTGCCATGG